GTTAACGCGTGAGCAGAAACTATTGGCAACCACTTTATTGGCCCATTCTTCTTGCCGGGACGACCTGTCGGACAGATTTGCCTCAATTTTCTTCAACAACAGTTGCCTTTGCTGCTTGATGGTGTTCCGTTAGTAATGAGAAGCAATATGGGGTACATGCATGATGGTGCACCAGCGCATTTCAGTGTAGCAGTTCGTAATTATTTACAAACTGTTTATCCAAATCGTTGGATTGGCCGTGGTCTGCCCCAAAAATGGTCACCAAGGTCCCCTGACCTCAACAGTTTAGATTTCTTTTTGTAGGACTATCTTAAGACACTAGTGTACACAAGTCCCATTAACACTGAATAGGAAATAAGTGAAAGGATAGTTGCAGCTTGTGATAGAATAAAGAACACTCCAGGGATATTTCAACAAGTGCGCAATTCCATGAGAAGGAGGGCGGAAGCATGCATACTAAGTGAAGGGGGCCATTTTCAATAATTTTTGTAATCATTTCATTGGTTTTAATGTTATGTTTATGTTGTGAGTTGTTGTTGTTCATTACCCCTAATGTGTTTAATTTTTAGATTAATAATAATTTTGCAAGTTAGACAATAGAACGGTTTCTATTTGTTTACTCAAAAATGGCGCATCGAAGGAAAACAATTCAGGAGAGATCATTTGTTTTAAATTGAACGGGGAATTAAAAAATAATTTTTATTTGGCAAAAAACCGTTGGCGTACCTTTTTTTTCTTAAAAAATATCAAAGTCAATACCCGTACGCACGCCACTGTTCAAGCTAAAAAGTATGTTTGCATTGAAAAATATGCAACTTTATGAACTTTCACGGCGTACTAAATATTAGTGAAATATCTGAAGCGGTTCTGAAAATATTAATTAATTTTCATTTCTTTCCTAAAACTTCAACACCCCGAATTTTTGTAAGGAAACAGTTTTGGACGATAGTTTATAATTAGCATTAATTTTTCATGTAGATTCACACCATTCAATATTCGCATATTATTAAAGAACACCCTGTATATCACAGTAGCCACCTTCTCTGCTCAATCTATATTTATATCCCGCTAGCGAAATTGCACATATACTAAGTGACATATAAATCCGAACACCCAGTTTAAATGGTTTTATTTTAATAAAAGTTGGTGAATGTATTTATCTTACTGTAAATAACAAGTGAAAAGATTTCCAGCCTTATCAGTTGGACATTCCGGTTTTTATACTGCTTTTTTTAATTCACTAACGCTCTAAAAATGAATATTTCTGCCGCAGTAAAGAGTCAACGTTGGCGGATTTTGGTTCTTGACATCCTTTACGATCGGTTACGATGCCTAGAGTACGGAGACCTGTACGATTTCGTCAACTTAGTGAGTTTGATAGGGGCCGTATAGTGGGACTTCGGGAAGCTGGACTTTCTTGCAGTTAGAGTGTAAAGAAGTGTAGACACTGTGGTTAGGTGTTGTCAGGCATGGCTTCGAGAAGGCCGTACGCAAAGAGCAAGGGGCACTGGACGCCGCCGTAGAACAACAGGCCGTGAAGATCGCCGCCTAAGATTATTGGCCTTAAGGGACCGTTTCTCCACTACCAGGTCTATTGCAAATGAATGGTTTGCAGAGCACGGAAGACCTATTGGCATGCGAAGTGTTTACCGACGAATGAGAAGTTTTGGCTTGTTTTCATACCGGCCACACTGGGTCCTCCCTTTAACTCGAGAACACCGACGTAATCGCCTTGAGTGGTGCAGACAACGCTTACTCTGGGATCAGGAATGGAACAGTATTGTCTTTAGTGACGAGTCTCCATTTTGTTTAGGCATGCACGATGGTCGTGCCAGGGTTAGAAGGCGACTGTTGGAGTTATGGTTTGGGGTGCTATGCTTATGGTTCCAGGTCACCTTTAATCTTGATCAGAGGTAACATGAACGTGCAGCGTTATATCCACGAAGTTCTAGAACCCCATCTTTTACCCTATCTTGACACCCTGGCAGATCCAACTTTCCAACAAGATAAGGCCCGACCACATGTTGCAAGAGTCACAATCTACTTCTTTCAACATAATGCTGTCACATTGTTACCATGGCCACCAAGATCTCTCGACTTATCCCCAATTGAGCACGTGTGGGATATGATGGGTAGGAAATTGCTCAATTTGCAACGTCCTCCTCAGACTCTAGAAGCACTTCGAGAGGAGTTGGTGGTTGCCTGGAATGAGATACCACAGGAGGACATTGACCACCTGATCAGAACCATGCCTAGGCGCGTTGGAGAATGCGTAGCACATCAGGGTGCATCCACACATTATTAAAGGTCAAAGGGATTTAAAGCAGTGCAATCATTTTGAAATTTTTATCATTTACTTATTATGCTTCATTAAGTACTTATACAAAATTTTATTAAAATAAAACCATTTAAACTGGCTGTTCGGATTTATATGTCACTTAGTATACTATATCAGATATATTTTCAGTAAGGTATGTTTCTGTGACGGCTATAATATCATATTTATCTATGACTTATTGTTTGAATTAGTTTAATCTATTTGATAAGACCAGTGGCGCAGCAATGGGGGGCGGCGTTGGCGGTCCGCACCGTATATCACCTTTTTTGAGATGACACCCACCTGGTGACTCAACTTTCCCACAGTTCAACTCCAGACAAGATCGACGCCTCTTCAAGACCTAGATTCATTGTTTGGGATCGTACAAACAACTACTTTGCTTTTGGCGAATACTGAAGAACTGAAATTAGCTACTTCCAAATTTACTTATTTTTATGATGAGGTCCCAGAAACAGAATTAATTTTGGAGAAACCAAGACTGCGAACACACTTAAAAGCTGCTAATGTTACAGTTTCTGATTGGGGATCTCTAGATTTTTTAAAGTTTATTGTAAAATGGAATTCTACAGAATCTCTTCCAAACCTTATGATTGTACTACAATTTTATTGTTCATCACGGTTTGCGTGTCCGTAGCTTCATGTGAAAGGAGTTTCAGTAAACTGATATTAATAAAAAACTATTTGCGGGCAACAATGACCCATTCGCGGCTTAGTAGTATCTTCGTATATTAGCCATCGAATACGAGGCAATACAAAATATAAATTTTGATGAAGTTATTTCGGAGTTTGCAGCTGTCAAAGCTAGAAAGAAGAGATTTTAATTGTGAGATAGAAATATTTTTTCTGTCTTAGTTTTTATTGTGTTTTGTTATTTGTTCAATATACTAAAAATTAATTTAACATGATCCATGACTTTTATACATCATATAATATTTATTGCTGTTGACTTTCGATGGGGTGACACCGCCAACTTCCGCACCGGGTGTCACCCTAGTTAGCTACGCCACTGGATAAGACCTTACAGTTATATGAAATATTTTAGTAAAAACACTCTGATAGTAGTTCTATATATGTATAAAGGAGGGCGCCGACTAAGTTTTTTCATATACCAAACCAGCCGCGAGGACAGAAGCGTATGTATCAGGGTATCGCAGCTGCTATAAGGAGTTTGAAGGAACTTTGTTTATCCGATTTTTAAACTGCCTAAGGTTAGTAGAACTGGGAAAAGCCTCCTCAGGCAGGTTCTTCCACTAACCCGACACCGAAGAAGACTGTCCGTTACAGATACATCGTTCAGTTGGACATCCTTCCTCGGAACAGCATCGAGCATAGGCAATTTAGTCGGAGCGGCAGCATCTCAATCATGCGAGCAGTACTAGGTCTAGGTCTTACCGAGGCCTTGAACAGAGTAAGAAGGTTATGTGGAGAACAGTCTTAGTCCTAAGAGCCCTAATGGTAGTAAGATATATGTTCGAGCCAGATGAAGTCCTTGGTGATCTTGACTCTGATCAGCCGAAATGAACGGCTCCTTGGCAGAACTCGCCATCCATCGAAACCGGATGAGCGCTAGGGTACTTCTTGTTAGTCAAGATTGTTACTTCCTTAGACAGTGGCAAGCTCTAGATCTCTCGTCAGAAAGGAAGTCGCTGCTAGTCTTCTCTCCAGCTCACCGACAGAGATCGGCTTGGCACTGTGATTCCTACATGTTGAGTGTTGTCAACGGCAAAGCTGTGGATCGGATTGATCGTAGAGGAAAGGAGATCGTTGATATGTAGTGGAAACAATGGCTGAGCCAAGACAATCTCTTTGGAACACCCGCGTTGACATTGTGGGATAAAGAGAAAAATCCGTCAATGATGAATCTCTTGCAGCCAGAGAGGGATTCAGCTACCCGTCTGCAAATATTCTCTTGGAACCTTTTTAGTAATTTCTACGACATCTACGTGCGCGAAGCAGCAGGTAGACAGAATCTAATAAGAAATACCAAACACGTTAAAAGCATATGAAGTTATACTTAAAGACGGAATGTAACAATTAAAATCAATAAAATGCACATACGCTAATAAATTAACAATCTAATTGTAGCACAATCCAGTACAATCTTGCTTATTTTGTTCACCAGTTTCTGTGGCCTGTTTCTCTCGCTATTGCTTTCTCTTGCTGGAATCAGATACCTTAACATCTGCATAGTTTCCAATTTCAGCCTCTCCTTCTTTATCTTCACTGGCCTCCGTAGAGGTTATTGATCGATCTACTGCCGTTCCAGTTCCTTCCACTGGTTTTTCTTTTACCACAGCAGCAGCCTAAATACTTTTCTCTCTTTCGCATCATCGTTGTCCCTATCTTATCCCCTTCGTAGTAACTGATAGAAGAAGAATTTTTTTATTTTTTATACACTCATTGTACTTTATAATGCATGCACGGTTCAAATGCTGAGTCAGTATATTTTGTAGACAATAATTTCTTGGTGAGTGATGATAAGTTTAGGAGAGTGTTATGTCAACGACAAGGCACTTAGATTTTAGTTTTCTACAGTTACTGATCAAAAAAATTAATTTGCAATTCCTTTCAAATTCTCGTTCTAGTTTTTCGTAATTTTCCTTTCGATCGATATACATTAGTTCAAATTCAAGTACTTCTCCATTTAACTCTTCTTTGAACTTGTTGCCTAATAGCTTTCACAATTTGAAAATCCTGTTATAACTTCAATCATTTTGAGTTTAGATGGCTATTCCGCAGTACTGGTAGGACTGAGACGTTGATGCAGACATTTTTTATTCAAACACTAGTAGCCTGAAATGGGACTCAAATAAGAGACTAACTCTAAACTAACTGCAGCATAAGGTACGAGTCTTAACGATAAATCGTTTTTCTATATCATGTTTAATTCAAAACCAATTTATTTACAATTACAGTTATCTAATCGAGGCAGTAGATTCTCAATATATCGTTTCTGATTTATCCATTTAGAAACAGTAAACAATCGTAACTGGATCTGTATCAAAATACAAAGTTTCATGATGGCAGCAGATTATCAAAACGGTGTTCCTAAAGGGGTGTCAGCGACGAATCAGAACGTGAAAATTGAGGATCATGGATTTGAACATCAAAAAAGTAGAAAGGGGTCTGTCATATCTCAACCACCGGTCATGAAAAAAATAAGTACTGGTAAGTGATCTCTACACACTTGTACCGCAGACCATAATGCTGTGACCCTCTCCATTTTGCTAAATAATTATTTTCGAATAACGGAAAGATGTACCACGCTTTTCTTTGAAAATTATCGTCCTTCATCTTTTAAGTTGGTTACAAAACTACTAATTCTTGTAGAGCGACTTTGAAGAATTAGAAGAACGAGTTACAGAGAACGTAACTACCTGCATAACGTGTCTGATATAACCTGATATACCTTTTACGCAGGTTTTAAGCATTTAATAATAATTCAGTTCAAAGCGAATGGTAATATAACTATTCGACCATGGTTCATAACATTTTGGATCAGAAGTTCTGTCAACTGACGTTTTGGATTGTTATAGTCTTTTCTATAGACAACTATCTCACAACCGTCCTGGTTCTGATCACCACGAAACAGCGCCGTCTGCGGCTGGTCGCGGTTATAGAGATGGAAAGTAAACATGTCCCAAATTTTTAGATAACTGAGGAACGCGAATAATTGCCACATCATCTCTCCAGGCAACTTGAGAGTGATAAATTGTCATGTTTTTTCTTTCTGGCCGTCAAATGAAACCTCATATGCTATATTGACTGTTTACTAACCCTTCGACTATATTGGTGGCTTTCTTCAAAAGAATTATAAATCAAAAGATGGCAATAACGATATGCTTTAATATCAGATATTACCTAAAAATTATGGATTTGTCTTCAGAACCATTCACCTCAAACATTTACGTATAATGATATGAATTTCACGACTAATTGTTCCCCGCCATCAGAATGATAGCTTTGTTTTTTAGCCGACTATAAGTTCCAAACGTCGATCGAACTTCGAAATAAATTGATTTTATTGAGTTTGAATAACTTTGGATAAAAAGTCTGAGTTACAATTATTAGCGCTGAAATCAAACCCAAACACCATATCTTTCCCGATTTTGTTTCAGAAGTCTTCAGATTTTACCTAACACATTCATTTTTTCCAGTGATAGACAGATCTCACAGAAGTGCCACATCATCAGCTTGTTCTTCACCCACACATTTAGAAAACGAAGCAGATAGGTAAGATATTCTTTTTTCTGAGAACTCATAACACCGTACCGAACTTTACCTACAATCTAAAAATACTCATATACTAAAAGTTACATTTTACCTAAGCTAGACATTGTAAGCCATTACCAGCATCAAAAACTATATCCATGATTTTATGATCATATTTCTTAATAGAAATATACAAATTGTGATTACTTTCTACCCGACTTTTGAATTTTGAACGGAAATTCCATCTTTGACATGTATGTTCCGCAAATTGATGGAGTTTGACATTTGACGTATCCGTAGCTTTTCTTGATAGTACAATTAAAACTTCATTCTTTTCAGTTAATGCAGTCTGGTTTCAACTTATTAAAAAAATCTACTTGTATGTAGTATGTTAGTTAAATATAGTCAAGTTACCAACCTATTGAAATATATTGCAGCTATCTGGTGAGGCGTTAGTAGCTATGGAAAATGGCGACGTCGCTAGAATTAGTAGCCTATTTCATAAGGAGTATATGGGGGCTCCATAACCTGGCGGCCGTCTTTGCGGCGTCGCCAGTTTTTAAGCGTCGCTTATGTGGCGTGTGGCGACCCATGCTGGTGAAACGCTTTTTAGTGATTCATGACAGGAAAACATTTGTAAAGTGCAATTGCGACATTTAAAAGTGATAACATTCATCTGCATTTTTTTCTCTTTTGAAAAATTCCGTTTCGGTCTCTGTCAGAAGATGGAGGGATCCACCGAAACTTTTTTCTATTCGATTTGCTCAATTTGATGTCGAAGTAGATCAACATTATCTCGAACTCTTCTAATTCCATTATGAAATGATGAAAATGAGGTTATCAGACTATCACTTTTACCTGACAAACCTCCGATGTGGCTGGCTACTGCTACTCTGTGGCTGCATCATTGGAGGCGTCGCTGTGGCATTCGGGAGAGGGAGGGCTGGACACTACACTGTTGACTCATATAAGGCCTGGCATCACGTCTTTAGCTATGTAGAGGCTCCTGGGCTCACAACAAGCCCAGGGCCAGCTGCACGTCCAGAGCAAAATCAGGGGAAGTATTTTGCCGTTGGGAAAAATTAAAGACCAGGAGGGATACTTGGATTACGATTTTTTGCGCACTTGGTAGCCTTCCATCTAGCCGATGCTCTGAGCTCTTAGGATTAAGATAAAACAACATGGCTTTGTTGTGAAGATATATGGTGTATGTTTCGACTATCGGCTAGGTCCCATCGGGGATACTAGGCAGTCCGTTAGTGAATATCTTCAATTTTGATAGTGTTATGTTTTCGTTGCAGATCTTGGTGGTATACGTTCTGTTTACGATGTCAATCAAACGAAAGTGAAGGAAAACCATCGTGGCACCCAAAATGGTGGACAAAGCTCTGTCCACAGCCATATTTTCCTACATATCGGCAGTTCTCTCGAATAATCTCTTTGATACTTATCGGCCTATTTTCTTGGTGTGTCCTATATGCGATAATAGGGGAGTCAGCAGGTCCTAGCGGAATGTTGTTCCAGCTCATCATACTCAGTATTTGTGCACACATTGGAGGCTGGCTAATGAGTTTGACCACTCTACCTGGCCTTGTTGGTATGCTGTTCACTGGGATCATATTGCAAAATGTAGGCATTGTGGATCTAGATGAGAGCTTCAGCGAAATTAGTCAGTGCTTTAGGTGAGTGCTCATTATAGAACAAGTTATATTTTAAAAGAACTAAATAAACACGTCTTAATAGCAAATTGAACTGAGAAGTAGGCGACAGCTTTCAAGTTTAGCAGAGCTTGTATAACTGCAATAGAAAGTCCAACAATCAGGTATGTCTGATTAATTTGGAAAAAACTCAATTTACAAATTAAGATATCAACAAAAAAGTCAGTTATATAAAAAGGCGTGGGGTGCTAAAAGTTGAATGTTATACTTATTCTTCAGTTGTTTGGTAAGAAATGTTTAGCCAAATATGGAACGAATTAAGTTTATTATTAGCACTTCAACAGTTTTAGGAAAAAATATTGCTTTCTCGAAATGTGTTAAAAAAAACTTCAATTCAAGAGTTTCTCAGTTTTAGGTTTTTGAATTAAACGGTTTTTATATGTATACAGATAAATTGGACACCATGTGAAAATAATTTAGAAATTTACCTAAAATATAAACCTTATATTTTTTCTTGTTGCTTTAGTACAGAGTGGGCCATTTAAAGTGGGGCATTTGTTTATAAAAAAATACATTAACAAAATATTTTTTGTTGTTTATTTGAAAAGCCCTTTGTTTTGATCCAAGGAGATTGGTTGTAATTACTTTTCAAAAATGATATCGCGCAAATGGCCACCTCGGCGGTTTCCATCACGTTGACCGATGTTTCGGCGGATTCGGCGGCAATTTCTTAACGAATATTGTTCTTGAAGACAGCTAGAGTCCTTGGCTTGTTAGCGTATATCTTGGATTTCAAATAGTCCCACAAATAAAAGTCTGGTGGCGTCAAATCAGATGATCTCGGTAGCCAGTCAAAATCGCTAATTTTCGATATCAGCCGTCCAGGGAACAATGGTCGCAATAAATTGATTGTTACTTGAGCTGTGTGGCATGTGACACCGTCCTGCTGGAACCAGTAATCGTCCATGTGATTTTCACAAACAATTAACCTCAAAAAATCCGTTATCATGGCGCGATAACTTTCACCATTGACGGTTACCGCAGCTCCATCATCGTCTTCCAAAAAACACGGCCCGATGACCATATTCGCTCACATACCGCACCAAACAGTAACTTTTTGTCATAAAGAGGCTGCTGTTCGATTAATTGAGGGTTTTCGGTAGCATAAAACCGACAATTTTGTTTACTTACGCCTCCATGTAACGAAAAATGTGCCTCGTCGGACATGATGATTTTTCGTCAAAAGTCATCTTCCTTTTCGGCCATTTCAATGCTCCATTTAGCAAAATCAAAAGTGACACGGATAATCAGCTTCAACAGTGGCTCGTACGGCTTCGATATTTTCATCGGAACGACTTGTTCGTTGTCTGGATAGGTGACTGGCATTACTGGAGCACTTTTAACATAATTTTTGTTACGAAACGCACGTTTAGTTTTCACGATTGAGAAGTTATTTTGAATGTACAACTGAATACTTTCAGCGCGTTGTTTTGGTGTGTACTGTTTCATGGTTAAAATTTTAATGAAATGACGCGTCCAATGCGTTATGACATTAGTCGATCTGACTACTAATGTCAAAGATATAAGGTTGCTTGATGCTTCCACTTTAAATGGCCCACGTTGTATATAATGAAACACCGTCTACCTACTCATAATTATAGTGCCAGTAAACAATGTTCAGCTTAAGCTTAACAAAATTTAAATTAAAATAAGGTAAAAATATTAATAACTTCCAAATATAAATGTGCCCTAGATATTAATTCCTCTTCAGTTTTATTTTTAGCATCTTTGCTCTTAAAGCAGATAGTGGCAGTTCATCTTCAGATTGATTAGAATGGACGTGAGGTAACGAATCGTAAATGTTGTGGTACATTGAAAGTACAGTATGATATGTTACATGATAGACTGTAGATCTGAACATTGTTTTTCTCAACTGGAAGTTCCTTTCTTTGAATACATAATCCAATATGACATTTGGCGGTATTTATTACTCGTTCATCAACTTATTTTTATTCTCATGATGACCTCTCTGATAAGGAGAACGCAATGATATTAAATTCCGATTGCTTTTATTAAAAGCGGTCCTTATCATTTTTTCGAAAATGTCCAAGTAGTTAGAAAAATGTCTTACAAACGGTAAAATTTTTATTGTTCAACCTCAAAATATATTTCTGGGGGAAGCACCTCTTCTGGAATTCTCTGTTCTCGTTCTTCAATGAAAAGCTGTGAATGCACATGTTTATATAAACCTCTTGGCTTTTCAAGACTTCAATCAAAAAATGCACATTGCAGTTTAGAAGTTGCAAATTTTATGTATACCTTCTATATGTACGGCCAACTGAAGGGTTAAGCCTTATATTTGCGTTCTTTGATACTAAAATGCGCAGCCGTTGATCACATATTGGCGATCTGAAGAACAGTAAATTGGCCAACAAGTGAGATATACCCCTATTTTCCATTTTTTCCATGAGTATTTTGTGTTGTAATCGGTCCTTGACAACGGGCAAAATTTCAAGTTATTCAGGCTTCTTGAAATCGATAAAAATTAGGTTAAAATATTCCGTCATACATACATATAGGTCAAGCTAATATACGATAAAATTTTGATTACATGTGTAGTGTCAGTAGGTGTAGAAACCATAAAAGGAAGGGGCAATCGGCGATTGAAAATTGAAGGGCGGGAGACGGGGGGGGTGGCAGCTGCATGCTTCAGCGCTAAGCGTCACCTTTGAGAGCAAATGCCCTTGTGACGATTGCAGAGCGGGGGTGGGATATGTCCAGGGTGGTGCACGTCTCACGATTCTGGTCTAGCAAGGTAATTTTTACACATATTATAGGTATAGCGATATATAACATTTTCAAGTCGGACTTGGAAGTCTAAGGGGGAGGGGCGCCCTCCTCGCCCCCCTCTAAATTCGCCCGTGATTAGAACATCCATAGATCATCACAAGTTTATAATAATCGCATTACATGAGTAACTAATCCCTATGTCACTCTTCCTAGTGATGTAGCGCTCGTAATCATCCTGATAAGAGCTGGGCTAGAACTGGATCCAAATGCCTTACCCCGTTTAAAGTTTGCAGTGTTGAAGCTAGCCATACTACCGTGGATTACTGAAGCTGCTGTTGTTACTGTTACTTCAGCATACATATTGGATCTTCCCTGGAAGTTTGCAGTCCTTCTGGGTAAGACTAAATAAATGTATCACCTGAAGCCGACGTACCTACCTTTTTAGGAAAGGTTTGAGAACGTATCTAGAATTTTAGTCTTTTTTTCGATCAGTCTTCCTTTGAGTTAAAGAACCGAAATTGAAGAAGTTTGAAAAAGGTAACTGGGAAAAATGCATAGTTAATTCTTCCATTGCGTACACGAATGGAATGTGTTGGGATTGATAGACTTATGCATGTAGTTCATCGTGTGTGAATCGCATTGTTGTGGGGTATGGGCGACAGAAACATCGGGATGTTGAGTTCCCTTGCTCGAAAACGTAGCACTATAAGTGCGCAAAAACTTTCAAAGAAAGTATGAAATTAATTGTTCATTATACTCCTCATACAGATCAACATTATGACAGCATTCTGTACTATGTTGAGCTGATGAAGTATATATTCGTTTTTAATTTTTATTTTGTGTTGGGATTTGTAGACTTATTTCTATAATTCATTGTGTTGTGGGATATGAGAGACAAAAGTAACAGTGTGTTGTGTTAACTAGCACAAATCTTTCTTGAGAAACATTATCACCGCGCAGTATACGAAGACACATTCTGACAGTATTGAATAATATATAGGATATGAAACCACATATTCCTGAAAACTTTTCACTGACGACATGGTATGTGATCCTGAGGTAAGTTATTAAGCAGTTCACCGATTTCTCAAAAAAGAAGGACACTCTACACACACGGCTTACCATAACTTTGCGTCGTTGTAGAATTTGATGAATGAATATTTCCGAAACGTGTTGAGATAAAGACATAAAATTTGGTATTCTAGCCTACTTTTTTATGCTGTATTTAAAAATATTAACAATTTTAGACAGTTATGTTTGGAAGCGTATGTAACAGGGACGGACTCATGTTATTTTAGCCCCAAAATTTTTATGTGATTATACTTTTGAAATTCAATTTTAGAATTTGAAAATTTAGGGCTTTCTACAAAAAAAGGTACTCTTATTGAACATCGATAAATTGTGCCATTTTTGAATAATATCAAACTAAAAAATTTGTCACATGATAGGAAATGTACAGTGAGTTTAAATGAACTGTTGATTATACATAGTTAGCCATGACTGCAAACAAAAGTTGTTTTGATTTGTTATGACTTATTTTGACATTAAGCTGACATTGTTAGCAGTGTAAAATTACTAGATCGAAATCAAAATTTTTATTAAATCGATTTAAAATGCCAAGATTTACAGAAGAGAACTGACTGACATGCATTTTGTGTACGTGTTTTGCAATGACAGTTTATTGGCAGCCGTAAGAGAATATCAAAGATTTCCCAATCGTAAAGTACCTGGACGTCGAATGTTTACTTATATTCACCGGAATTTGTCAAACCATGGTAGTTTTCAGCGCATGCACGGCTCAGGAAGGCCACTGGGAAATCATTGTATGGATATTGCTTTAAATATGTTTGAAAATAGTCCGCAAATAAGCATACGAAATGTTTCAGAAATTATGGATATACCTCGATCAATAGTAAGAAAAATGTATGCCTACCAATTTGATAGTTATCCTAAAAATAATAATTTTAGATAGGAAGAATGACAAGAATGCAAGGATTACATCCTTATCATTTTAAACGGGTGCAGAATTTAACGGATTCAGATCTTTTACCACGAATCGAGTTTTGCCAGTGGATATTAACAAATGAAAACACTATTCCTAGAATATTATGCTCGGATGAGTCAATATTTACTAGGAATGGTGCTTTTAATTTCCATGACATCCATCACTGGCCAGATGAAAATCCAAAAGTTGTTAGCCGTACAAATTTCCAACATAGATTTTCATTGAACTTATGGGCATGAGTAATTGGGGATAAAGTAATTGGGCCTATTATACTTCCCAATCATCTTAATTCAGAGGTGTATCTGAACTTTCTTCAGAATGAGCTCATGGATATAACACCATTGGATGTGCGCCAGCAGTTTCAAGAAAATATGTTTTTTCAACATGATGGCGCCCCTGCACATTTTGGACGCAATGTTCGAAATTGGTTGAATGTCAATTTTCCAGACAGGTGATTAGGCCGAGGAGGTCCTATAGCGCGGCCGCCACGTTCACCTGACCTAAATCCATTGGATTTCTATTTTTGGGGGTCATTAAAAGACCGAGTTTACTCGACTGAAGTAAATACTCAAGAAGATTTACTTCAAAGAATCCATTAGGCTGCAAATGAAATAAGAAGAAAAAGGTTTTCCACTTTTCGGGCTACGCAATCATTAGTTCGTCGAGCGAGACTCTGTATCCAACAAAATGGGAATTTATTTGAACACTTATTGTAAAGCTAGTTTTAAGTATATCCAACTGTATGTCTTCTTTTTTAAAGAAATTTCAATTTCGTTCGTAGAAAAAAATTATTTCTTCTGTTTTTGCCTAAATGTTAGCTATGTTACAATAGAAATATGTATTTATGTAATATTTACCAATTATTACATTAGTTTACTAGGCTAGAATACCAAATTTTATGTCTTTATCTCGGAAATGTTAAGGAAAAACCATCTTCAGGGGAGCCCCTTTAAAAGACCGTAGCGCCCTTAGGGGACGTTTGTCGACCTATGCTTCTATAAACTTTTCTTCCTATTTTAACCTCTAGAAACCGCTGGTAAAGCATTGCATACTTTTTTCGGGACACCCTGTATATTGAATGTTGGAGTAGTCGATGACTGCTACAAACTAAGGTTATGCTTTTGAAGCCTTTGTTGTTACTATTTGTGCGTAATCAGGTGGTCCGAGAGCCACCTTTGAAGCAAGAGAACAAAGAACTGAAAAACTTCTAACAGCAAGCCGAATCCTCCAACTCGGCATTATTGACGGCGTATTACAAATCTGATGAAATAGATGAAACCATCCGCCGCGTACTTTTCACTTACACTATATTTAGGGGTGAAATCGAACAACAAATAATGATAAAATTGGCAGTTGTCAGATTCATGCAGCACTGTAGGTTTTAAACCTCTGATTTTAATCAAAAAGTTATATAAACTATTATTTAGAATTCAGAATCCATTAACAATACCCTAATACTCAAAACAAAAATCCACTCTCCAATAAACAATTGCATTTTGGAATCATCATCAGCCATGGGTCTGGAGGGGGGTTAATTACCCCGTCTACCCTCTCCTTGGCTACGAGCATGGACATTAATAGGTTAAATTGCGATCTTGATATTATTCAAGTCTTAAAGATCGATATATTGGATAAAGAAAAACCCAATGACAATTTGAATATAATGGCTGAATATGTACACTCATCTCTTATCATTAAATATAGAAACGTGCAAGATAACTGTAGGACCTGTTTTGATCATATACCTCTGAAATCAACGGCAACCGATCGTATTTTCCAATAATCTTACAAACTAATGTAACAGATCACTATCCCATCACCTTACAATATCAGTTTAATTCTGAAAAAGTATCTCAAAATAATTCACGTACAAAAAAATTCTTAATACATGAAAATTTAAAACTATCGCTTTCAGAAGAAACCTTGGTTGGTCTATATTCGCTAAATAACGTAGACTTATAAACGGCGTCTCGTAAATTTAATATATTTGGAAAAAACCGATGAAATAGAAATGTAGTCAACTATCAGTGAACTAAAACAAAAAAGCACCGGGGAAGATGGGATTACTGGTGAAATTCTGAAAAGTTATTTTGACTACTTGTGGCTGCTTTCATACGTGACATATACAATAACAGATAGGGCATATATGAAGAATATGAATAAGAACTCAAAACAGCTTTTGTTAAAAAAAAATTGGAAAAATACTTAAAAAATGATTACACAAATTTTTCATCGAACACAAGGTAATTAATGTCTGGTAGACGGTATGGCTTTTAGTCAGGGAGATCAAATCATGATGTAATAGCTCAATCAACCTAGCTTTTTAATAATGCAATGGATGATGGCAAACCTACAGTATGTATTTTTCTTGATCTGCTAAACCGTTTGACACTGTTAATAATCAAGAGTTGCTTAAGATACTTGAAAATATAGGTGTTAGAGGTATATTCCATGATCTGTTTGAAAGCTATTTATTAACTCGAGGTCAAAGTTGTTATATATACTGGCGGATTTTGGTTCTTGACATCCTTTACGATCGGTTACGATGCCTAGAGTACGGAGACCTGTACGATTTCGTCAACTTAGTGAGTTTGATAGGGGCCGTATAGTGGGACTTCGGGAAGCTGGACTTTCTTTTCGGGCAATTGCAGTTAGAGTGCAAAGAAGTGTAGACGCCGTACGCAAAGAGCAAGGGGCACTGGACGCCGCCGTAGAACAACAGACCGTGAAGATCGCCGCCTAAGATTATTGGCCTTAAGGGACCTTCTCCACTACCAGGTCCATTGCAAATGAATGGTTTGCAGAACACGGAAGACCTATTGGCATGCGAAGTGTTTACCGACGAATGAGAAGTTTTGGCTTGTTTTCATACCGGCCACACTGGGTCCTTCCTTTAACTCGAGAACACCAACGTAATCGCCTTGAGTGGTGCAGACAACGGTCACTCTGGGATCAGGAATGGAACAGCATTGTCTTTAGTGACGAGTCTCGATTTTGTTTAGGCATGCACGATGGTCGTGCCAGGGTTAGAAGGCGACGTGGTGAAAGGAGGAATCCACAGTTTTTTGTTGAAAGACATGTTCATCACACTGTTGGAGTTATGGTTTGGGGTGCTATAGCTTATGGTTTCAGGTTACCTTTAATCTTCATCAGAGGTAACATGAACGCGCAGCGTTATATCCACGAAGTTCTAGAACCCCATCTTTTACCCTATCTTTACACCCTGGCAGATCCAACTTTCCAACAAGATAATGCCCGACCACATGTTGCAAGAGTCACAATAGACTTCTTTCAACATAATGATGTCACATTGTTACCATGGCCACCAAGATCTCCCGACTTATCTCCAATTGAGCACGTGTGGGATATGATGGGTAGGAGATTGCTCAATTTACAACGTCCTCCTTAGACTCTAGAAGCACTTCGAGAGGAGTTGGTGGTTGCCTGGAATGAGATACCACAGGAGCACATTGACCACCTGATCAGAAGCATGCCTAGGCGCGTTGGAGAATGCGTAGCACATCAGGGTGCATCCACACATTATTAAAGGTCAAAGGGCTTTAAAGCAGTGCAATCATTTTGAAATTTTTATCATTTACTTATTATGCTTCATTAAGTACTTATACATACAAAATTTTATTAAGATAAAACCATTTAAACTAGGTGTTCGGATTTATATGTCGTCACTTAGTATATGATATCAGTAGTACTAAAAGTATAATAACGTGCGGAGTCCAACAAGGCGCAGTTTTGCGACCCTTTTGTTTACAGTATACGTGAATGAGATCCTGAGCATGGCAGGAGTGGGACAAATCATGTAAATGGTTATTTTTACAAGCTTTTGTCCAGTAAATAGAATCTGCCCATCTTGTATTTTACTCTGAAGATTCTTTGAGAAAATATCAACGTAAAATAATAATGAGATAGAACTAAATAGTTTAATATAAACCGTTTTTGTTTTATTTTATTTTTAAATCGAAACTTTTAAATGGCCCACCCATTACATAACACACTTGCAATGCATGCAATGTTTCGCTGCCGTGGCCAACAAATTTCCCTTGTGTTTTTTTTGTCAACTGGTATGCTAAATTTTGGAAATGCTTATTGTTTCGAGCACCAGCTGAAGCTCGTAAAGTTCGCTAATAAAATTTTGTAACCTTTTCAGGCAGTATCATAGCAGCAGTAGCACCAGCAGTAGTAGTTCCATGTCTGTTCAGACTCCGATCCAAAGGATACGGAGTGTCAAAAGGTATTCCAACTCTCATAATTGCCGTAGCAAGTGTAGATGACGCAGCTTCAGTTGCTATGTTCGGAGTTTTGAAGAGCATCGTATTTTCTGACTCATCACTGGTCAGTATCATTCTGCAGGGACCTCTTTCTATCGTAGGAGGTAAGCTAATCAAAATATTTATCCATGAGCATGTGCAAGAGAGTCAAACAGCTTTTATCCTTCCAGCCAGCCGTATATGGTGTAGCTACATCATAGTTTGGAACCTCGTTAGTACGACAAAGTCCGTGAAAGAACGAACAGAATGGTATTGATACAGTTTGAGACATAATTTTTGCATCTTTTTAGGTATCGCTTTTGGTGCTGCATGGGGCTACATTTGCTCCATAGCTCCCGAACGAAACGATCCCTTTGCAACTCCATTACGCGTTTTGCTGCTCCTAGCAGGGGGCATGGGCGCGGTGTTTGGAGGAGGTCTAGTAGGATATGGAGGTGCAGGCCCATTGGCGTGTGTCGCAGCAGGTTTTGTGGCCATATACATGTGGTCAAAGATTGGTTGGGATGTTGCGGATAATCCAGCAGCAACGGCATTCGAGATATTCTGGATGATATTTCAACCTATATTGTTTGGTGAGTAATTCTGAAATCTGTTTCTACCCAGCAGGCCAATAGCAGATGGTAAGTATTTCGTATATTGGTCAAAACTGAAACTTCAGGACATGGCTTGGCGGGTCATATCTCAGATGGGGCTCAATTATTTTTTCTAGAGAGTACCTATGCAGGCATGAGGCTTTTTGAAATTCAGGGTCTCAGGTAAAGCGGTTTGGTCTAAAGACGCGGTCAACGTTTGAAATTTTGGTAACTTGTTCATTTTCTCGCTACTCTTATCATTGGACAGGATTTGGCCCTATATTATATGACTATTATAAAGTAAAATTGCCCAAGGAAGTTAGAAATGATCCCCAAATTTCAAAATCGTAATTCGTTCAACAGATATTTCAGTCAAAATTGATTTTTTATAAATTTGCCACAGGCAATTCGAATGCCATCCGCAACAAAAAATGCACCAAATTAATATTGTTTGTGGAGGAGATAGACCAGCATAACCGTTATTTTTGTACTCGGGCCTTTAAATTAGTCGGATAGTCATTTTCATGATACTGTGGGTCATGCCTCATATCCCACGGATTCATGACATGTTATAATATCTCAAACATCTAGGTCGAACAGTTCGGTCTGGAGAAACGTTCATAGTTTCAAAATATGTGAAATGTGAATTTTAGCCTTTCTGGCATTTCCATTTCCTCGCTGGAGTAAAATTGTCCAAAAAATGTTCTCGAACTTGTAATCTGATAACTGGTTCGGTAGATATTTCAGTAAAAATGATTTTCTTTTTCGAAATTTTTTGAAATGAATTCAAATACCTTCCAAAACAAAAAAAAAATCCGTCATATAATTTTTTTCGTAAGGACGAAGGATCAAAATATCATTGTGTATTAGTTTAATTTTGTTCTCTCGCAAAATTATATGTTTCTAGAGTAAGAAGAAGGTAGTCAAATTTTGTAAACTGCGAGTGAGGTGAAGGATTTTATATTTCGCAATTTTTTCCTAATCTAACCAACATTGTGACTTCGTAATGCTGACCTTGGGCACAATGAACTCTGTTTAGTTTTTTAGCCAATGGACGTTACGGAACAACATATAAGTATAAGATGGCTAAAAATTGGTTCTAAAGGCGTCCTCTGCCAAGTTAGGGTCGTTGTTACTATTCAAAAAAAAATCATTCTGCTGGTTTTTTGTTTCGGAAGGCATTCGAATTATCAGCCCACGAATTATTCGAACAATTTTACTCCGGAATAGTCATACATTGCGGGGTCTCTCACTGTTTAATGAAGGAGTAGTCAGAAAATGGTAATATGTATTGTCAAAAATCCTAAGATTCACAATTTCCTAGCCTTGAGATTTTACGGGTCATGCCTCCTGAGTGGGCCCAATACAAGTTATGAAAAACCCTCCAGTACCAGGAACATGGCCAGATTCGATACAAAATATCGAAAATTGGATCCAAGGGCCTATCCGACCAATTTAAAGGCCATAGTTCAAAATTCAACTCTTATAGGAAAATAGGCTGTTCCATCTCCTTCACGTAAAAAAAAATAAATATTGTGCATTGCTGTTTCGGAAGTCATTCGTACTGTTAGCCTAGAAAACCAGTAAACATTCCGAAAACTTCACTTTTAACTGAAATATGTATCTGCCAAACAAATTATGGTATGACAATTCCTTGAACAATTTTACTGCGGAATAGTTATGTACTATAAATTTCCATCTATTGCTTCTTTTTTCAACTACCATTTTTTGACATGTTAAATGTGTCAACTGCCATGTATTTAGCACATATGAACTGTCAAAGGTCTGCTATTTGTTATTATGGCTTTAATAACGCAAGAACGCATTTTGGCCGTCCAAAAATATTACAAAAACGGAAGATCTTTAAAAAGTGCTTTTCGCAAACTTCGTAACGAATTTGGACGATATAATCGTACCATAGGGCGTGGAATTCGGTGAACTATCAATCATTTTGAGGAAACTGGCTCAGTTGAAGGTCGTAGATCATATCAACATGCCTGTCCGGTACGTACACGTGAATCAGTGGCCGCTGTGAGTGTTCATGAACAGTCATCAACTTCGATAAGACACCGTTCGCAAGAATTGGACATCAGGTCAACAACATTATGGAGGATTTTGCATGTTGATCTCCACCTACACCTATACAAGATCCAACTAACAACAATTGCAGCCAGCGGACCATCAGCAACGGCGTATTTTTGTTAATTCTATGCTTGAAAAAGGAGAGAGATTTTCGGCTAGAATAATTTTTTTCAGATGAGGCACACTTCTACTCAGTGGCCACGAAAAAAAGCATAACCGTAGGATTTGGGGTTCGGAAAATCCACACGAGATCCATGATCAAAACGTAACTGTTTGGTGCGGATTATGGGCTGGTGGCATCATTGAACCGTTCTTTTTCGAGGATGAAGAAGAAAAAGCCGGTAAGGGCACCGCTGAATATTGGAAGCTATTGATGCCAATGACCTTCGGTTCCAGCAAGACGGTGCAACTTCGAACACGTTCGCCAAACAATCCAGTCATTGGCCGAGAAATTTCCAGGTCGCATTATTTCGAGAGACTCCGACGTGAATTGGCCTCCAAGATCGTGCGACTTAACGCCACTGGCCTATTTTCTCTGGGGATTTTTGAAAAGTACGCGGTCGTGGACCAGCTAATACTCCAAAAAGTCATCGAAAATTGTGATGTTCGGATGATGGTATGTGAACGGAGCTGCGGTGGACATATGTGCGATGTTATATTCCATACATAAATAAGCTTGGTCTGAGATATGACCCGAGGAGCCAAGTCATGGGATTTTACTTTTGACCCATATACTCAAAAGCTTGGGACAACAACGTCATTGCAATTCAAAGGTCACTCTTAACTCTTGAATCAATGACCCTAATCATAAACTCTAGTCTCTTGATTGCGAAATTCAGCCGCTCTCCCTGTTTCCCATTACGAAATTTTTACTGTTAAGCTACCTAAATGCACTGATGTGTCTAGGCTATCTATATCAGACGGAACACACATGCCCTTATAGTGGAGAGTAGGTACCAGATGCCAGTTTTCAACTTCCATCGATACGTAGAAGGGATTTGAGTTCCTTATTCTAAAATATTCTAACCGATTTTTCTCCAAAAAGCTGATCGACACCTAAGAAACTACAAGATTTGTTTTTTCTCTGAATTTTTTTTACTTCCTGGTCACCTCAGAAAATAATAAATACAATTTATATTTTTCAAAAATGCTGAAATCTATTACGCTTCTATACAAATATCTCCATCCACGCTCAGAATTGTATGGCAAGCTTCAATGCCCCTGAGCCGTATTCGATCACTTTCAGTGTTCAGAAACTTGTGAAACTGAATCTTCTTAACAGCCATCTATGGGAATAGTGGTGGCATTATTTGAAGAACTTTGGTCTAGTAACTAATACTCCTAAATCACGAGTCCCAACTGTTAGCAAATACCGTGAAAAAGCTTAACGTGATCACGACACTTACCCCTCGGCACAACGAAGGTGCAGCACGACAGCTGCCTAAGCGTTACAATAGCTATTGGCCATAAGTGAAGGATTCGACAGAACAGTTGCTGTTCATATTCGGTGCATACATAGCGTGTGTTTATACGTTAGCGATACAGCAGATGAAACTGAGAATATTTCTCCCAATGCTTCCCTCAGCCATGCTTCCCGTTCAGTGATGTCTCCTCCCCGCAAACGTGACTAGAAAGGACATTTGAATAATCAGACAAAAGAAGTTGTCCTTAACGTTTATATGAGCGAAATTTTAGGGTATCCTGAAATGAAAATTCATGATATTGAAAGACGTGTGGCGAACAAAACAGGCTTATGTCCTAAGACAATTTTCAAGATTGTTAAACAATATAAAAAAGTTGATAACTTTGATCGCAATGCCATCAGACGCAAAGTCCATCAATTTTTTGAAAAGCAGAACTTCCCACCATAGACAAATTGTTACAGGAGGTTAACAGTGATGAAGACTTACCTACCTTCAAAAGGACCACATTCTATAGTTTACTCAATGAACTTCATTTTGAGTATCGAAAACGGAGCAGAAATAGTACTTTGATGGATATCCAAGAGATTATTTTATGGAGAAGAAATTATTCAAAATCAATAAAGAAATACCGCGACCAGGGCAGGAAGACTTATTACTTGGATGAAACCTAGATAAAAGCAGGACATACAAAACCTAAAGTATGGGCTGACTCTACAATAAAATCAGCAAGACACGCCTTCTTAGATGGACTAACCACTGGCCTAAAGAATCCGTCAGGTACGTGAATCTAACCAATTCGTCATTTGTATTGTAAAAATGGATCAAGTAGACTGAATCTATGAGCCCACGCTGAAAACTTAGCTACAATAAACTTAGATATGTCTAGTAGATTTGGAACCAGCATCTGTTAGATACTCTGCTTGTATTTTTATTATCAGTTTTCTTGAATACTATATGAAATAATTATTTAAAGGAAAAGGAAAACTCGAAAGCTATTTATTATCTGTCACGTTGGCAGTGAAAATGGCTTTTGTGCTCACTGCCTTATGGGCATTTGTGTCAAAGAAAACGACCGACTCCTATGAAGAAATGGACGGGAGTTCATTTCAACGATGGTTTGAAGAAATGCTCCCAAAGCTTGACGACAATGCCGTCATTATACTTGATAATGCTGCATACCATACTAGAAAACTAGAAAAAAATCTCACAATGTCCACAAGAAAGGCAGAACTACAACGATGGCTCCTATCAAAAGATATTTGTTTCAACGAAAATATGTTCAAAGCAGGCAGCACAAATATAAATATAATCTTAATGATATTGACGAAATGACTAAAAACCAAAATCTGGCTACCTCATTATAACTGCGGATTAAATCCCATTGAAATGATTTGGGCAAATATAAAAAATGTGTGGCTTCAAACAATAGAGTGATGGCAAATCATTGGAAAGATTGCAACCGTCACGTTCAAGAGACAATCGAATCAAAGATGTGGGATCTGTACAATATGATCAATATTCAAATCGAACGTGTAATAATTAATATTAATCATTCAGACGATGATTCGTACTTCCAGCGAATAAAGAATTATGAAAAGTATGTGCACCTCTTTCTATAAAAATAATCATTTATCTTGTTAGATTATTCCAAGACCATTGAGCAAAATACGGACCTGCACAATTTCGCTCTTGGGCATGTTGTGCTTGGTCTGGGCGTAAATGGACTACGAATGGAGTATATATATGCCTTACGGCAACGGCAAATGGTATCAGTATCACCTAGTTACTGTTTGAATGTACATGAGATGTGCATAAGCGCCAGCCGTTAATATGACCTCCAAGCATTATGGGGCCTTATATATTCTGGTAATTCAAGCGATGTGATTTTGTAGCGGGATATTAGTCATCACATAAGTAAATAAGGATTACAATAACTTACAAATTACTCTCTAAGTGTAAGATCGATTGTACGACTTTGTCGTTTCACTAAAAATACCACGTTGTGTACGTCACTACACATGATGCGATAGTATAGCACATCAAGCTTTTAACAAATATCGAACATGTTAGAAATGATTATGGTTTTACATCTCACTGCACCTGCACCAGTTACGGTGCAATCTATCCCCCATGACGGATCAGCTGAACTTACCCTACGTTATTCGAAAGTCGTGATCTTGTCACACATCAAAAAGTAACGGTATCAGGTATGACAGATATTAAGAAATAACGATATCGGCAACCTCTATATGGGAAGGGTAGATATACATGTAAAATATAGATACAATCAATATATTACCTTACGATTTAACCTACTTGACTGCAGCTTAAATTCAGCTACTATAAACTTATTGAAAAATAGTTAATATTCCGTCATTTAACAAAATCTCGTCTTTGTGACAAACGTAAGGGGAATATATTTTATGTGGCCTGGTGGTCCAAGGATTAAAATATCGGTGGATGAAGTTTTGCCCATCCGGGTTGAAAATCGTACAGCTCATCAAAACATAGTGCTACTCTTGCTATCATTGCCTTTGGCTGTTTGTACGCATGAATGTTGTAATTTCAGTGTCAGTGATCGTTATCATTACGATAGCTCTATGTTCTGATGAAGTCGACCTCTGATTCCATAAATAGTGAAATATATCATTCATCAGAAGCTAATTATATTTCCAAACTTTTTGAACAGCCATAAAATGATTCCAGGTATCACCGGTGCAAGAGTGAAGGTAAATGATCTCAAACCAGAACTTCTAGGTTTGTGTCTTGGTGTTCTAATAACTGGTATAGTGATTAGAATGGTCATCACCATTTGCCTTGGCATAGGCTGCAAATTGAACAATAAGGAAAAAGTATTCGTCTCAATAGCTTGGATGTGTAAAGCTATAGTACAGGTAATTGTCAGATATTCATAATTGGACAACTTCTATAGTCAAGTATCAGAATGGAATAAAGTAGCGTTATGCATCATACCCACACCGTTTAACCCTTCGGTTATAGAAGGAAGGTGAGATCCGCGAAGACTTCCACAAAAATTTCCGCGTTGGCAGTGCTATAACTTATACGAAGGTGTCAAAGGCTGTGTCCGCTAGCTCTTAGCAGCTGAAATAGAGAGTATGCTTAAGAGGCCTCCCTCACCGGCACGCCATAGTGACATCGCCAACATCCGTAGCCAAACTGACGTGACGACTAGTGGCGACGGGCGCCAAAATCAGTAGGTTGGTTTTGCTACGGATAATGGCGGTATAGCCATGATGAAGAGGCGAATGAGCTTTCAATGGGCTACTATCTTACCTTTTGCTTTCAAAAAATTGATCAATCCCTACATGTTTACAGTCTAATAAATGAAAATAGGACCATATAACCGGTTCCTTGAGAAACTTGACAATATTTTTTTCTAATTCACATGTATGATTAAATTTTCATTATTTACAGTTAGTAAACTTAGGTATGTTCCCTTTTCATATTTACCTATAATCGTTATTATATAACTTTTTGTAGCAGAATAGCTGAAAGCTAGACTTCTCCCTTTAACTAAAGGCTTTTATTATCATTATTTATTATTATATAATATCCTAAAGTAAAGGAAAAGGTTTTACTTTACAGCCCTGTCCATACAACTGTTGCCAACCTGTCAATGACCCCATGTCCAACATCCCACCATACAAATTCCGCTCATTTTGCTACGCTATAGACGAAATTCACACACCCGGATCCCAGACATAGTCAACGACAAATCACCGACCACTCTACGAATAAACCGGAAAGCTTTCGTTTTAGTAAAAGGTTTTAGGTTTTTCGTATTTAAAAATACTGCAAGCCAAGACGTACATCATATAAATCAGATTTCAAATCGTTACTTAGATTTGAGAAGGAGAATGTAGTGTGTGTTATTATGCAAACCTTGAATTCCGAAGTGAAACTGCTGTACGCAGAGCACAATATCACAAATATTTCAGGTCAGCGAATGAATTCGATCTCCAAACAAAGATACCCAATTCATGTGAGGAGACTAGTTGACCAGGTTCCATTTCCCAGAAGCTATTAGAGTTACTGACTGCACGCACATTCACATTGAAACACTAGTCCAATTCGGAGACGAATATGTGGAACAGAAATATTTCACAACTCTTAATGTGCATGTCACATGTGACCAGAATTTATAATTAGTACTGATGCAAGTTTAATAATCTGTATTAGTTAATGATTCTCGTATAATGGAACAATTCCGCACTGCGTGAAATTATGTGGACAAGTAACACTACCATCCTATGGGACAGTCGGTACGGTATCCTGCCATCTCTAATGACTTGTTTGACGATATCGTTGTACTTTTCACTCTAATTATTTGAAGAGGTTCCTTGCAGGGAAAAGATAGTTATAATGACTACTGATTAAAGTAAAACATTTTAACTTTACCTTTTACTTGAAAGCAAATACTTAATTTTTATAAATACCGAATAAATATTGAATGTAACCTGCTAAAGGACTCTACAGGCAAGACTAAGAGCTTTCCTCCAGCAGGACGCTATGACGACGGCGCACATCACCAGTATCCTCAGCCAAGCTAACATATTGATCTTAGCGTCAGTCGTCATTAATCGACACGTCAGGACGACTTGAATCTGTCATATAATAGCTAAGCTCGGCTACGTGTACTATTCACTATGACATAGAGACCCAGTGAGGGAGGGTTTTAAGTTTGAGCTACCCAATGCTATATACAGCCATATACGATATTAGGTTCTCCAAAACCTGATAGTAACAGGATGTTACTTCCAAGTCATACACAATGTACACCTTCATGTTGTTCAGCGACAAAACACAACCTAGAATAATTAGAACAGTATAAAGATCTCAATCAACAAATTCAGACTAGACAGAAGGAGCAATTATACGATTTGTTGGTCGCCAAATATATGTACAACTATAAGGTGATCAAGCTCAAGACGCCAGTTTGACGATTGTTGACATTTCACATTAAATTCGTACCTTGTTGCAAAAACAAATCTTTCTATCGGCATCGGCGTTGCGAAAGAGCATGTACTCGTATGTACCTCATAACTGAGCTTTTACCTGAATATTTGTGAGGTACTTTGATTTATTTTGATCCACTTCTTGTTTCATTAGCAACGGAATTGTAGCTATACCTAGCAACAACATTGAATAATGCAAAACATTGGAGACAAGCAACATTTTTTGACGGATACTGAAAAGAGGCCAACTGAAACTACGACCCACCTTTTATTAACTAAAATTCAATTTTATCTACCTTAATATTGAATCTAAAAGCTCTTAGCAAAGGTTCTTCCGTGTAATGGGTAGTAATTTTACGGTCTCATTCAGTGCCATGAGATTTTATGGAGAAAGCTCAGTCCGCAAAAGAAAACTATGAATATCAAATTAATTAAAATACTTCCAATTTTTTTCAGATAAAAATAGTCTCAATGGTATTATAGCAGGAATTTTCATATTATGTTTAATTACAAATTTACTTTCTGCCATGAATTTGCTCATATCGCGACAACCATTTAGAAAACGCGAGTAGAATGTATGCAAGGTATCCCACTATTTGCAGGTATTCCTCCATTGTTGCTGTTTGACGCAGATGATGTTTCGTATTTTTCCCCTTTCAAAATCACGTATTAAGCAGTCTTGTTCATATGCCGTTAAATGATATTTCTTTTCGTTTCTTTGCCTTATTTAATTTATTCCTGTATATTAGCTAGAACTATGCAATGAGACTACACAAGTTTGGCGACAAACAATGCAATGTAAACATATGTAGTCCTGGCTCCTAATCTATTCGAATTCGTTGATCTCACTACCTACTTTGATCTTTTGTGGAATGTGTTAGTGATAGCCTGTTGTGATTTTCAGGCAGCACTAGGTCCAGTAGCTCTCTCTCTAGTACCCCAAGATACCAAAGATCATGAAGCAGCAGAGAAAATCTTGATGACCTGCATCCTTTCTATTATACTAACTGCACCAACCGGGGCTCTTCTGCTTACGGTACTAGGCCCTCATTTACTGACGAAAGCAAAGATGCCAACTTTAACCGAAGTTAGAATGAGAAAAAAGAGTAGGAGGTTGTCTATCAGAGACATCACTATTCCTGATTTGAGTATGCGACAGGAAGACATAGAGGAGCAAAGAATGTCAATTGTACCAGAAGAAGGTCAAGAAAGTCATATGTAGATTGATTTAACGTGAGCGTCTCTAATTATTTCTACTGTACACTGGTCGGTTGAGCCTCATTTCGCTGAACTGTTGTATAGATCCACTCCAATGCAATGTTTCATTGATACGTACTTATCAAGTGATACTTCCACATTTAACGTGTATCGTACAATTTGCTAGCTACTAAATTACGTCATGTCCGCTGTACCACTTGCACGCGCGTGCATAAATTATCAAACTTAACTCCTAAATTAAGAAGGTAGTATCAATTTCACTGTTAACAATTAGGCTTCTGTGAATGAATGTCATAGTCCTTTGTTAATATTTTAATTTCGTCCTGTTTAGAGAGTTAGCAATCTAGTACCGTATCATTTTTGTTAATATTATCAAAATGAAAAAGTATGGGGTTAATGTTTTATATACAATATCTTCCTTAGCTGTTCCTACAGATCATTGTTTGTCTAAAATTTTCACTAATCTTAACTTAACCTAGGAAATGTTTTTCTCCAGATTATTAATCTTCTGCTAGTTATCCGAAAAGACTTTTCCCTTGAGGGATCCCCACAAAAAGTGTCAATCAGACGACCATTACGAAAACGTGTCTATGACAAAACCAAAGTTTCCCTCTCCATATGACACATGACCAACTTGAAAAATGTATTGGTGAGATGCATATTCTTCATTTGGAAGAAAAGGGTTACATCTCAAAATTTTTATTTTCCGTTTTATTGCGTTGATAATTGAGAAAATGTGTTTACAATTATGTGGAAAATGGTTACATCTGTAGTTGTAGCCATTTGCCCAGAGATGGCAGATGTAACCATTATCCACATACATGTAAACACATTTTCTGAATTACTATCGCAATAAAATGGAATATGGAAAATTTCCGAAATTTAACAATCTTCTTCAAAATGATCGATATATATATATACGTAAACAACAATTAGCAACATCCTCACATACTACTGTAAGTTGAGTTAATTTAAATTCATTTTACACTTTTGTTGCTACTGTTATCATTGTAATTGCCGCTCCTGATGATGATGGCAAAGTCCATTGAAAGCTAGAGAGAACTAAAAAAAGTATAAAGAGTCCTCTTTGCTTAAATTTTGTCGAAGTACCCAACAAAAGGCGGAAGCTTTAATTTTTCAGCTATATATATATATATATAGGTGAAAAATTTATATATATATTTATATATATATATGCATATATATAGGTGAAAAATTAAAGCTTCCGCCTATATATATACAGGGTGACTTTGAAGTTGAGTCATTAATTTTCAGATAATGATTGTAGAAGGAAGATAAACCAAAATATGTGTTGTTACTTTAATTTTACCAGAAAAATGTTAAAGGGAAAAAACATTTCTTTTGATCAGATCTACTCACTGTTAAAATAAATGACTCAACTTCGAAGTCACCCTGTATATATATACATATTATCTAATTGGGGCACGATTAGTTCTTGCCTGCCGAAAGAATTAAGGTGAATTTTCCTTGTGCGTTTACAGAATTCAGATGCGCTTCTTCATCATAATACTAAATTCCTGGGTCGCAAGATTACACATATATAAAATAGCTCAAGTCCCTGTAAAAGTGGTCGAATAAAAATCTCGAAGTCCCTATTGTGACACCGTCCAGTAGGTTGATCATACCATTACAATATAGGTTTAAAAGACAGACTTACCTATACTTAGCAAAAATCTGTTTAGAACGAACACTGACTGTATGAAAGGGTAATTGTTTATTTTTGAATTAGATGCCATCAATGACTCATGCCTATTGTTATATGTTGAATGCATAATGTAAAAGAATCGAATAAAATCAACTAATTGTTATTATTATTCTGATCAATAAATAAATAGACAGTAACAGTATTGTATCTTTTACTGCAAACTATCGTCAGTTTCCTTCAAAAGTATCATTTCTGTTCGTGCTTCTTACACTCACAAGATAAAAGACCTTGATGCCTGCATCGGTATGTTTGTTTTCATCGGAACTTACCGGTTACTTACAACTGTCGGTAAGCGCAACCAGACTTTATGCCCTAGCCTAGATGCGATGATCTCACGAAAAGTAATTTGCCATATCGACAGCTTGGATATTAAAAGTCTATAGGCATGAAAAGTGACAACAGTTGACTGGTTCAAAACACGCGGCATAACAACAAGATACTAAGTGGAAGTACTCGTCTTTGGGGAAGTCGACAAATTATGCAAAGTGTACTTAAATTACATCACAAGCTTTCGACAGTCTATGCGATCTTCAGCAGGAGTGCGCCAGAGAGATTGGTTCTAAAATTTGAGACCACATAGTAGAATGAATCAAAAACTGGATTTATGGAGTGCCGGATCAATCCAGCGCGGGGCATGTTGCAAATTCTGTCAAGGGGCCGTTGGTTTGCCTTATATTCTCAAGTTTAGAGTATTAAATAAAACAAAACTGTTACAAATAAACTTTTCTGGATTTAATACGGGTAAATTTAGAGATAACACTTTCAATATCGACTTCTTTGAACAAATCATGCTCTATATTCAACACAGTGAGATGATTAATACGTTCTTGGTCCAGCATGTTCCTTAATTCATTTTTAATACGTTTTGATGTTGAAAAAGACAAGTAAATACCCAAGGCAATTATTTAATAAAAGTTTATAAAATTGCTGTTCAAGAGGCTCTTGCTGTCAATAACAGTAGCCACATCTGTTTTCAGCAGCTCTCCGAACTGCACTAATTTGCCACCTAGGCTGTTCTCCAAATCATCTTCGTGAGCACTGACCATTATTGAAGATTTTTCCAAAATCTCTTCTGTTGTAAGAGATTTTAGCTGTCGAAAAACTCCAAAAACACTAGTTATCTTATGATATGCTTTCATACGTTTAGTTAAAGCTGACAGTATATTATCAGTAATGACAATAAACACCTAAACCTCGAAAGGTTGTCCAGGTGTTTGGTTTTCAACAAAGTCGTCGAGTGTAGTAGAGCCGCTGAAATGGTCGTACTTTGTATTTCGCTTGATTCGTCTTGATGTCTGTTGTTGGTATTCTTCACAGTTGGTGAGATCTCTGGCTCTTGCCTCAATATCTGAAAATGTGGATCGCATTGCTTGGACGTAGCCATATAATGATTCATAAAGGGCGTATCCTGTATTAAGGTCTTGATCAGACGACTGCAACGAAGCGCTAGTCGGTTCCATGTAATTGTCATTATTCTCGTTTTTAACTTATTCATCGTTGAAATTTGTCCGTAAGCTTTATTACGGCACTCCGCTTTTTGATCCACGTTATTAAAATGTCTTCCAAAACTTGCTTAATAGTGACAAAACCACATTAAAGTGCCTTCGTAGCATCAGCTCGGGCTGACCACATAGTGTCCGATAACCGTTTCAAAATGGGAATTTTTGAAGTAGAATTTGTAAGACGACTCCATCGATAGGTGGAAGCGGAAAAAATTATAGATTTTTTGAATGAAATCAAAGAAAAGTAATGCTTCTGTACAGCAGTCTGCAGCGCACTTAGCAACCAAATTTGTATTTCCCACTCATGTTGCTGGCATTATCGTAGCTTTGCCCACCCACAATCTTTGATATCAATGCCACTCTCATTTAAGAAATCTAGTAAACTTTGACCAAGTTGTTCAGCAGTATGACCGTCCATGTCCAACAACTTAACAAATGTTTCCACTTATCCAGATGGCAGAACATAGCGCACTATCAGAATCAGTTGGTCTACATGCGATATTCTGGAGTAGAATCCAATAAAACTGAGTAGTATATGTATCTCTTATTTTGGCAAATAATTTGATCCAGTATGCTTGATGCAATTAGATGAATAAACTCCTCACAAGTTGATTTTGATAAATATGGCGTATGTCCCTTACCTTTATTAGAATGATTTTGTATTTGTTGAGCCAAAAAGTCTAAAAAGCCAAAATAATTTCCATTGTGTGGTGAACAAACAATTTCATCACTACCCCGAAGCGAAAGACCTCGTTCTGCTAAAAACTTTATTACTGCACTGATTCGTTTTAAGAGTAGCCTCCAATACTTTTGCTCAGTCTCAATTTGGCTCACAAGTTGAGAATCAACATGCTTATTCTTGTTTTTGAGGTTTAACAGCAAAATTATGGCTTGTCGATGCGGAGTGCTTTCTTCGTGTCTTGTCAACAAATTGTGCGCATTCTTCCAGTCATCTTATCCGTCTTTCGTAAACCGTGGTGACGAACTATCTGAATTCGTAACTTTGCAAACAAAACCGAAGAGTCGTCCTGTGGTTCTCGAATAATACAACCAGTCTCTGACGTGACTTTAATTTGTTAGTTTATCTTCATAGGTGAAAAATGGCTTATGGCAGTATCGTGGCTTATTTTCGTTTTCGTAAAGTTTCTTTGAAGACAAAAAATCACTATTAATATGTAGTAGTTAGCTGATTCCTTTTCCAATCCAACAATCTCTATCAAAGTTGCTCGGCCATTCACCAATATCGTTAGAGTATATTTTAGTTTTACTTCGTTTTTGACTTGAAACTATAGTGACATTAGAATCAAGTAATAATATTACATCAACTACTTTTGGGTTAGAACACGATGACTCTAGATCGAGAGGACTGGCTGTAATTTTAACTTATCTTTGGCTAGAACATGAGATAGCTAAATTAGGTCGAATTGATGTCTCTTCAACTACAACATTACCTATATAAAGTAGCTTCATCAGAAATGGTAGTAGTACCACTATCATTTGTACAATCAGATGCAACTTCAGTATTTTCTGATTTACCTTCTGTAGATTCAGTAACATCACTCTGAACATTAAAATACTCGATCAGCTTACCCGTTTTTGATAAAACAGCTTCGTTCTTTTCTTCCTTTCCATCTTTTGCTTTACGCTTAGCACTTAGAGAAGCGTAGTACCGACCGTATCTCTAGATCTGCTGCTCATGCTACCTACGGTCAAACAAATATTATTTCAAATTAAAAAAAATCAACTTGACAAATGCGATTCATTTGTAGTATGCAAAACATACATGGTAAAATATCTTACCTTAAGTGAAGTAATTCTCATTGATATTTTTGCCTTTGTACATACAAAAACTCTTGTATTGTGTTTTAAAAAAGATAATTGAATGAGTTGCACCCAGCGCTACGTCACGCACGAAAACAGTACGCATAGAAATGTCAAAACAACTTTTCTCACTAATAGCTCACATCTAAAGTGCTTTTCAAAGTGTTTTACGTTGTGCCAAATGTAAATGTATAGCAATTTCTTATTGTTTGATAGTCAATATGATCCTATTTTATTTGTTGGAGTTATGACTCGATCCTTCTATGACAATGTCAGGGAATTCCCCTATTAGTTTTGCAGTGCTGCCTACTTGCGTGTAGTGCAGTGGAAGTAGTACAACACATAACTTGTTGTGTGGCTAGCGCTCAATTTTAGAAATGAGATACAATTTAAAATTATTGTTGTAGATTTTGTACCAACGTTTCTCGTGGTAGCTATTATACCTACACCTACCTATAGTAATTTAAAAGAAGTTTAAAATCGACAATATTCACGCACTTATTTTATAGTAAAGAAATTAAATATCGACGAACACATAAAATGTGTAATTTTTATTTTGAATAACTTTTTGGTTTATAATTTGAATAGTTCATTTTTAAATTACCCGCCTTTTTACCGTCACTAGCTTTCCATAATCTCTAAACATGATCGATATGATAATCGGTTCAGAAAATGTCAGCTATATTAACTCATAAAATGAATCTATATTTTATGATAAATCAACCAACCACAGTAGATTGGATCGTGACTGAGTTAATAAAATTTAAATAGTTCGCCTGTTTTCACGATATTATATTAAAATCGATTGAAAAAGTACGATCTCGGCTACGTAAACTCGCAATATAAATGAATATCTATATAAAAAATAAAAATCTGACCGCTTGAAGGGTAGAAATGTGGTATAGATGCTAGTCTAAATACAGTGAAAGCTCCCATAAGCGGACACTCACGGTTCCGTAACTTTTGTCCGCTTATGGGAGGTGCCCGTTTAAAAGAGAGTATGTAAGTATAGAGTATAAATAACGGGGTATATAATCATGAGGAAATGAGGTATTATAATCATGAGAAAAATGAAACAGAAACTCGCCACATTTTTAAAGTATGTATTTATGCTATATATCTA